AATAAATAAATAAAAATAAAAAAGAAGTTTGTTTTTCAGAACATAGTGGAGGCCACCACTGTCAGGGACATTTCCAAAGCAAGTGTCTTTGACAGTTCTGTGCTTCCCAAGCTGTATGTGAAGCTGTATTACTGTGTGAGTTGTGCCATTCACAGCAAAGTGGTCAGAAATCAATGTCATGAAGCCCACAAGGACAGAACACCTCTACCCGTATTTAGACCTGCTGGCGCTGCCCCATAACCTCCACCAAAGCCCATGTAAGGGGAACTGGGTCTTAATGGACTGAAGAAAACTCTCTTGAGAAAGAAATAATAAATTGAATGTTATACTTAAAAAATATTAGTACAAACCTTTCTCATTAAACTAAGAGAAAGTAGGTGTATATCTATCTTATCTTATATATGCATATACATATATATTTTTCCCTACATAATGGTCCTTTATTTATAACCCCCTTTTTTGTTTTGTTTTGTTAGAGATCGGTGGGTGTTCCATTGCTGATAAAGAAGCTGTATTTGGAGAAGTCTTTATAAATTTAGTATGACTTCAGTGACATTAAATTTTGTGGGTTTTGCTAACTGGTATGAGTTATCTTTATTTTTACATGCCTGTATAAATGAGTATCTACATTTTAGCAATCACTAAGAAAGAAATTTCTTCTATGTAAGTCTTGCAATGAGATAAAGGCAAATCCTTAAAAATGAACAAAAGCCCTGAGCCAGCATTTTACATGAGGAAGTACACCCAACAATGATAGGAAACAGTGCTCAATTTCATTGGTTATCAGAGAAATACAAGTTAAAACCAAAATGAAATACTACTATACACCTACAGATTGGCAAAAATTGCTTGAGAATAATCATGTTCACGAAAATATAGAATAAGGCAAACCCTCCTAGTCACTGGTAGGAGTGTAAATGCCACCACCACTTTGAAAAACAGTTTGTCATTGTCTCATAAAATTGAAACTTTATGGGCCAGAGAAATAGCTCAGTGGTACAGTGCCTGCCTGGCAAGTGAAAGGTCCTGATTTCGATTCCTAGTGCAAAATATTTTTTTAATAGAAGGTTTACATTTTTTTCAGGTTATAAACAAACCCTTAAGAAACACTTCTACACTAGACCCTAGTACAAGAATGATGGCATTGTTCACAATAATTCCACACTGAAAAAATCCCAAACGTCCATTATCAATAAAATGATACGCCAATGTAATATAGTCTTACAATGGAAAGTGGCACAGCAATGAAAATAAAGTAACTAAAGCTCTGTGGAACAATATGATGAATATCACAGGATACATTCACAAAAGAATATTTATAAAAAAAAATCTTTGCTTGTATACATGTAGCAACTCTGGAAAGATATACATTGTCCAAAACAAATAAAAACTAAACTAACACACAGACAATGAAAGTGATTCCAATAAAAACCAAGATTCTTTTAGGGAAAAGGACTTGGTAAGGGAATTTAGATGCTTTGACAGATGTTCACTTTATTCATATTGCATATTTTCTTCTTATATTTATGAACTTTTGCATAAGTTATTTCACAAATTCATGGGAGAAAAGCCCTGCTACAATAGCAAAACGCATAAGGATGTAGATGCTAAGGAAATGGGAATTACAGAAGACTAAAATATATGACTAGATGCTCCAAGTTGGTCATAAAAAGGTAGATTCAAATTAAAATTATGCTGAAATACCACTCTCTCTACAGCAGACTGGCAGAATCTCCAGCTCATCTTGTTAGTGAAGCTTGGGGAAATAGACATGTAATACATTTGAGCTAAGAATGTAAATCTGTATAGCCCCTTAGAGAACAATTTGGTAGCATCTATAAATATGCAAATATATATGACTATTTGACCCAGTAATCCCATCTTGGGAAATCTGTACACCTGTTCATGTATAAATGATATATTTGCTGCACTATTCAAGCATTGTTTATAACAGCGAATAAATGAAAACTATACAAATATTCATCAGTTGGAGACCAGTTACACAAATTATGGTCCAGCATACAACAGAGCCTAAAGCAAGAGCAAGGCACTAAGGAGGCTCTGTACTTACTAACATGCAAACACCTCCAGGATGTGTTATTAAACAAAGGAAAGCAAGATGCAGAACAGAGTGTACAGATGCTGCCTTTGTAAGCCTGTCTGTACCAACTCTGGAAAGACATAAATACTTGTAGGAGAGAGAGGAGTAGGAAATAAAAGAGAGATGGGAATTGGTCTTCTATTACATAATCTTTATATATTTTTAAATGTTTGAAGCAAGGTAACATTTATTGTAAAAGTTAAATTTTGGAAAGGAAAATAAAGTATATACAAATAAGCTTACCAGTGAACATTAACATGCACTTTATTTTCCAGCATGCAAGTCTGAGCCTCCTTCACATCACGAGTTGGAGATTCCTCTGACTCATCCTTGGGCCCAGACAATTGCACATCCTGTCCTGAGGGCCTAACTGCTCTTGGTGACTGTGCTCCTGATCTGGGCACATCCAATGCTTGGAGATTAGCAACACCATTTGGACAAGTCTAGTGAATGTCCTGGTTGAGATTTTTGCCAGCCCTCTATTTGTTAAAATGCAGAAGAGCACTATTGAGAACAAAGCTAGTAAATTATCCAAGGTGGGGTCAATGGCATGCCCACTCCCTAGGAATGAGAGAAGCAAGCTATTTGGAGCTTCTTTATCTTAGAGATATATCCAGGGCACTGGTACTGAAAGAACATGCAGTGCCCATGATCCTAGTGAGAGAAGAGAGAGGAATTGAACGGATTGTTCCCAACCATGAAGGGAGTAAGACAAACAAGCCAATAAGCTTGTTAAATTTAAGTGTCTATACAAAGGACAGCCTGATTAATTATTCTTTAGTCTGAGATATTCTTTGTACCAGGTACCAATGCAACAAGAGAAATAGCACCAGAGGGAGATGGACAGTGGTACAAACAGGCAGAAGGTAAAGGGACTACCTGTATGGTCTCCAATCTCTGGGAGGAATGGAAGATAGCTCCTACCCTGGGAGTCAGGAGATGTAGAAGAGATAAGAGTCCCAGTGCCTCTGGAACCCCAGGGTGGTTTCTGTCAGAGGAATACCAAGTGGAGGGGATCTGGCAAATACAGGTGAGTACATGCTCAAGACTGGGATCTCTACCCAACAGAGGGGGAAATATTCAAAGAGGGAATGTTTGAGAACCAAGTAGGCCTATGGGTCTGATCAAAAGTAGAGCCACAAGGTGTTTGGGGGTTGGGAATAGGTTCAAGTCTGAGTAAGTGAAATGAGACAGCTTTAATAACTAAAAACTGACTGGAAAGTTCAGTAATCTAACTGAAATATTATTAGGAGTGAGCCCCTGCTACCAAGAGACAAAAGGGAAATAAAAAGTCCATAGGAAGAGTTACTGAAAAGAATGAAACTGTTGTCTTTTTATATGCCATTCATATCCTGTTCAACTTGAGACTATACTTTTGCAATTTGGAGACATATTAAAATGCATTAAAATTGTGTCTGCATTTTCTATTTAGTTAAGCCTAAAACTTCATTATTTGTTATATAAATGAATGCTACATTGCCAGAAGGTGAAGAATTTTTGGAAGTCAGTAAGAAGCTTGCTTACTGGGAGATATTATTGGCTGAGTGATAATGGTGATTCATCAATCAATCACGCAAATATTTCATAGTTTGGGAAATTGTGTGACTTACTCCAAGAGATTTAAGTCTCTACCTGTTTTAATTCTATTGTTATACTCTGGTTTCTCTTCAGATCGTATAAATCTTTTGCCTTTTAATTCTATTGTATGCCACATGTCCAGCAATTGTGCATACATTCTCCATTTCAAAAACTGCATCATAAGGTCATATTTAAAGAAACATTTTAATGACAATCAAGGAATCAAATTTAAGTGAAAATTGAACCATCTATGATATTGCAAATGCAAATGCCACCAAAGGCACAGCGAAGAGATCATTTCTATATTTGACACAGTGAAAACAACGCCACAATTTGCTTCTTTGCGTAAAAGCTGTCAAGTTTTCTTTAATGTGTATTGCAAATTTTGAATTGCTTAAACTATGTAATTCTGGGCTGGGGAGATAGCTCAGCAGCTTACGTGACTACCTGACAAGTGCAACTTCCTGGCTGGATCCCTGGTACACACACACACACACACACACACACACACACACACACACACACAAATAAATAAATAATGCTTCTGATTATGGACAAAATATGTTAAAGACTTGTTAAGGTAAATTCCCTTAGTTTTCAATATTTCTGTGAGGGGCTGGGGAGATGGCTCAGTGGAATGAGCACTTCCCTGGCAAGCGCAAGGGCCTGAGTTCAATCCCTGGTTCCCCCAAAAGAAAAAAAAAGAATCCAAATCAATATTTCTGTGGTATACATCAGGAAATATGTTGTCTATTTCAAAGTTTGTAGGTGAAATTACTGAATAACAATTAAGTTTCAAAATCATCATTCAAGAAAAGTGTTCAACGTGATAAAACCTATGTTGATTTAGCCAATAGGGGTTTATATTTCTCACTAAGAGGAGTCCAGAGGTTGGCAACCCAATGTGCAAGAAGCACCACAGACTCCTTAGACTGTGGATTCCATACTATGCTTACTGCTGCTCAGTGGCTGTGGGCTAGCAACCCCACCACTGTCATGATAATCATATTCCTGGTAGAAAGCTTCAGCAAGACCACAAGTGGAGGTAGCAACCATATCAGAACATCAAGCATAATTCCCAGAAACTCTCAACGGCATCTGCTTACATCTCATTGACTAGAATACGTCACCTTATCTTACCATGCTACTGGGAAATATAAAGGCTACTTTTAGCCAGATACGTTCCCTTCTAAAACAATGCCTGTGTAATGCAAAATAGTAATTGGGTAGGTATCCAGAAGTTTACCCTGTCACTCAGAGATTAAGAAAAGACAAATAGTGTTTGCCTCCTAGTGTCAGTCAAATGACCAAGATTTTTCACAAAGGAAGTGCTAAGGAGTAAAAAGGAGAGAAATAGAGCATGTTCACACAACAATGTTGTATTTTAT